CAGTTTTCTTCGTGTTGATAAAGAGGCCAAAGTTGTCACAAGCGACTGCGAATTTGTCCATGCTGGCTTGCATTTCCTGCTCCGATCCTGCATTAAGGGCACAGTCATCAGCAAAGAGAAGATCTCGTAGCACAGTCTCCTTTACCTTGGTGACAGCCTGGAGTCTTCGCAGGTTGAACAATTTCCCATCGGTTCTGTATCTCAGATTGACTCCCACTGAGCTGTTCTGAAAGGCGTCAGACAACATGGCTGAAAACATCATGCTGAAGAAGGTTGGTGCCAGTACGCAGCCTTGCTTAACGGCGTTTGTGACAAGGAAAGCCTCTGAGGCTTCACCGTTGCTCAGAACACGAGCTGCCATGCCTTCATGGAACTGCTGTACCATCAGAATAAATCTGTCAGGGCACCCAAACTTTGACATAATGCGCCATAATATCTTCACGACTAACTGTGTCAAAAGCCTTGGTGAGATCCACAAAGGTGGTATATAGTTCACGATTCTGCTCCTGACATTTCTCCTGGAGCTGTCGAGCTGCAAAGATCATGTCCACTGTGAGAGACATGATTAAAATACATAGATTTATCCATGGCATGGAAAAAGCCAGCAGGGAAAAAGTTAAAACACTGTAACAAAGTCATCCAGTGAAACTGATTGAATGGAGATTTATAATAGACAAAAGAAAGCACTTCTTTACACAGCATATAATTCACCTGTGGTATTACAAGTTGATGATCACTAACTTAAATAGCTTTTAAAGGGGGGGAGGGTTAGATAAATTCATATGGAACAAGGGCTAGTCATTTCATCTACCCCCACTTTAATTCAAAGGGACACCATATAAAAGCATAATAATGACAATAATAGAAATAAATTTTAATGGCGATCATAAGTTTCACATTTCATTAATACATTGCATAATATAGACACTGATGCCTTCACAATTAATACCAAAAAGTTTTCTGAAAAAACAAGTTTTTAATAGCTTCAGGAAAAGCATAAGATTTGGGGCATCTTCACTTGGGGGGTGGGGGAAGCAGGATCTTTCTAGGGGGAAGTCCTTCCCAGGGAATGCTGGTACTAATTCCTGGTAGAAAAGAATTTCCAGGAATTTCCTGTCTATCCAGGTTGAGTGAACTATTTCTTGTAAAGATTCAGTATTCTTCCAGATTAGGCAGCATCCTCCAAATGTCATTTATTTATAAGATGTATATTCTGCCTTTCAGTCAGGAAAAAAACTCAGCATATAGCGGTCTTTCTTCCTATTTTTTCCCATAACAACAATGCTCTGAGGCTGATTGGCATAATGGAGAGAGATTGAACCACTGAACTTTTCATAGCCAAAGGTAATTAGAATCTGGTTTGTTCCTAGCCTTACATCATGACTGGCTCTCAAATATTTGAAATATATTTCAAATATTTACTCCAGAAATATCTGGCTGGCCACGCTGAAAAACAAACGACTAACTTAAGTAATGCACGCTTGGCCTGAATTGGTTACTCTTTCTGGATGTGTTGAATTTCAATTCTCACTATGTCCAATCAATACTGCAATAGCATCAATTGTAATACATGGAGAGCACTATACTAAAGAAGTCTGGTGTATATAGCAATCTTCAGTGTTGGAGATTTCAGTTCTTGGAAGGTAATTCTTTGGCCAAATAGTTTAATGATAAGACCACTCTTTCAAACATAGATAGGCTTCTATAAATAGAGCAGTGACCCAATTCTCCTTTGCTCTTTTTTTTTATTATTCAGACTTTCTGGTACAAATGAGTAAGTGATATGATTTGGCAATTTATGTCAATCTGTTCTACGTTTTCTGGAATTTAGCAGGGTAATTCTGTATTCATAGGTCTTGATTTGCTTTCAGAGAATTGAATAGAAGACCCTGTCACTGAATTGGCAGGATATGTTTACATCCTGTTCACTAGCTTAAATAGATTTCTGGCAATTAAATGTTAGCAGTTAAATGATGCCTTTTATTGGCTTGGTTTCTGCTGATTTATGTTTGAATATTTTGTTTGTGTTTTCCTTTTTTCCTAGAGAAGATAAGAAATATCTTCCCAATGCTTCTGAATTTTTCAACAGTTTTCACTTTCATTGATATACTTCTGAATTATTCGACAATGATGAAACAGGATGTTTTCTTCAGTTTTTAATGCTACCTAAATGGGATTTTAAAAGTGGAAATTTCAGAATGAAACTTCTTGTGAAAGGAGTTTCTCCTTTACATAATGTGTTCAAGTATAAGCTAGTGAGAATGATAGTGATGCCTTAATTTGGAGAACCAGGCTTTTCATCTTTAAAAATAGTAAACCCAGGAAACCATAGACCAATCAGTATCTAGGAAAATCCTAGCAAAGATAATCAAACAGTCAGCTTGCAAGAACAATTTTAACAATTGTTAAGATAGGCCATGCCAGAAAAATCTTATTGATTCTTCTTTGAGAAAGTGACTAGTTAATAGACCAAAGGACTGCTGGGGATATAGTGTACATTAATAATATATTTTATAAAGTAGATTATAGTCTCCTTCTTGATAAAATATAACGAGGGATGGCCCCATTGCAAGACTGATTTATAGTTGTTGAACTATACAAAGCTTGTGTTCCTTAATGTGCAGGGACATCTAAAGGGTCTACCCTGCCACAGTCCTCAACATTTATTATAAATTCTTAGAGAAGAGGATAGAACATATGCTCATGAAATATGCAGATGATATATGGCTGGGAGGATTGCTAACATCCTGCAACACAAACTCAAAATTTGAAAAGATATTAATGGATTTGAATAGTGGCTCCTATCCAATAAAATGGCTCTTCATTGGTGAGAAAGTAAGATTCTTCATTTAAACAAGAAAAACCAGATGCATACATATAAGATACGCAATATCTGGCTTGGCAGTAGTACTATCTGGAAGTATGAAGATCTGGGATTTTCAGATTAAGTGTGACCCGACATTGTGCTGCAACTGCCAAAGAGCCAATGCAAACTTGATTTAGAGTGGTATAACTTGAAGGTCATGGGGTATAATATTCCTATTCAGCAGCTGTAAAACTGTCTAGAGTACAAAAAAGATGCTTAAGAATTGGGAAGAGTGCAGAGATGAGTAGTAGAGATGGTGAGGAGCTTGGAGGCTAATGTCTATGAAGATCAGTTTTAAAAAATTGCATATATTAGCCTAAAGAAGGGACAGCTAAGAGGACCCATATCAGCAGTCTTCCAATTATCGAAGGGCTGCCCAAGGGAATCTGATTCATTCTCCACATTCTGGAAGATACTACAAGTATCTTGAAGCCTTACAGAAATACACCCAAGCCTGAAATGAGGATTGACCTTGAGAGCTATTAAGCAGTGGAATAGTCTCTCTTAGTTGTGGATGCTCCATTTCTGAAGGTTTTCAAAGATTGGACAAACATTTGCCTGGGAGGGGCAGAGGATTACTGCCCTGTATAGGGACTAGAGGTCCTTCCCAGCCAGTCTATAACTTTATGGATGAAACACCTTTCCTGAAATCACAAAAGCAGCATCTGATTGGGTCAGTAGAAAGCAAAATATGTTCTCTGTAGTTTGGTAGTGCTTTGTTGTGGATTTAGTATCAAAATGAGGACCAATTTCTAGGATTAATCTTATATGATGTGACAATATGAAAAAAATCTCAGAATCTCTAATTTCACGATTCATGTTGAAGAGACTTTGTGATCTGTGTTTTGAGATAATTTCCTTTTTTAAAAAAAATTGGAATTCAGTGGATGGAAAATAACTAATTCTGTGGTAAATATTTGCTTTGTGTTCTTATGGTTTTTATGATATCTTCCATAAAAATAAAGGATTTAGATTTTATTTTTTGTGATCAGATTTTTATTCAGATCTTCTCTGAACCGTCTGTACGACTGTAAATTTCCTTTCTTCATTTGCGTAAATTACTGACGATGTCACTATGGTCTGAAAGTAGCAACAGGAGGGATCTGACACGTAATGACAGCCGCAGGACACATATAACGACTTCCATAGGTTTTGCTGACCCAGCGAACGAGAGAAATTTAAGATGCGCAGCCTGCAGCAACACCCCAAACAAAGAAAGCAAGCTCGCCTCTGGTTGTCAATCTTGCGCATGCGTTTTCCTTTTATGGGCCCGCCTCCAGGACAGAAGTTGCGCATGCGAGTTGCTGAAGGATTTTTTTTTCCCCCCGCTGCAGCTGCCGAAGCTCGTTGGTGACACTGCGGGCGCTCGCTGGCAAGAGTGGCCTGAGGAGCGACGCCGGGAAACAAAAGGCGAATAGGCGGCGACACGGGCGACACGGAAAGTTTCACGCGCCTCGTGGTCGTGGACAGCTCGCGGTCGATTTGGAGCCTGTTATATCCTACGAAAAAAGACAAGATCCTGCGAGGGACAAAACCAGTGAAGCCGGCTTCCTTTTCCCTTTCCAGAAGCAGCTGAGTCCCAAGGAGAGCCCGGCGCTCCCTCGTCCTTGCTGCGCCGAGGATCCGTCGTGGCTCCGCCCTAACCGGCTTGCTCGGAGTCCCTAGTCTCTTCGTTCGGACGGAGCTGATCTTGGGCAAGAAAACTCAGAGCCGCTGGCGCTGGGTGAGAACCGGAATCGGGGAGGGAAGCTGGCAGCCTCTCCTGCCAGAAGGATGGGCGGGGACCCTTCACCTCTCTGGGGCGGATAGTAGGCGGGGAAAGGGTTTCTGATGTCTCAGGACTTGTCGGAAGGGGTAGGCCGGAGTGCAGGAATCTCTGGCCCTATATGGGACGTTTATGTGCCCGTACTTATCACGACTCCCTGAATATTATTGCTCATTTTGAGAGATGACTGTTGTGGTACTTGATGGTAACATAGGGAGTAAAACCTCCAGTAAATCTCAAATCCCCATGTTAGCATATAAATAAACACTATGGGAAAGTCAATCTACATTCAATGTCTGTGACAAAATGTTGCCTGGGATTCAAGGGTGCTTCACAGGGTCTTAGGAAGTATGGTTTGAGGGTGAGTCGGAGAAAAAAAATGAAAACTAGCCTGGTTGAACTTTCCCTGGTTGGGGAAAGAAACTGGCCCTTCTACTGTTGTTTATAGCAAAATATGAAAATTCAGGGTATTTACTGTACTGATGGATAGCTTAATAGGTAGTTAAATTAAGAAAGAAAATTCTGTCAATTATTAATACTGTACTTCTAAGCATGTTTGTGAGCAAACAGCTTACATTCAAATGGTAATCATCTCTTTCAAATACACTATTTTAAGTGATGCATAGTACTTTAAAGAGTTTAACAGGCAAAAAATAGATTGCTGCCCAAATATGATCTAAATATTATGCTTTAGGTTATATTTCAATAATGACTTTTTAGTGGTATTCCTTTCCATGCCTATTTTAAATTGAGAGCACCATTTGCATTCTTAATCTGTTAATTTCAATATGCTGAATTAAGATTAAGTTGATTTAAAATTCTCTTAAAATCAGTGTGGGAAATTAATTATTGATTTCTTCAGGAATCAAATATGAGTTAAGCAAACTACTGGAGTACTGTTTTGATGCACTTAAAATGGAGACAGAAACTGTAGCATGAGTTGTATGTAGGCAACTTGTGAAATTCCGAAAATACTGGCAGATATTTTTGATGGTAAACTCTTAGCTAGTATGGTCAAGGAGGCAAGGAGTTGTATTTCAGCAATCTCTGAAATTGCCAGAGCTTCCTCATTTCTTACTTTAAGTTTTTGTGGATAAGTACAGGTAGTTCTCGATTTAAAACAGTTCATTTAGTGACTGTTTCAAGTTATAACAACACTGAAAAAAGTGACTTATGACCATTTTTCACACTTATGAACATTGTGGCATCCTCATGGTCGCATGATCGAAATTCAGACACTTGGCAACTGACTCATGTTTATGACAGTTACAGTGTCCTGGGGTCTTATGATCAACTTTTGCAAACTTCTGATAAGCAAAGTCAACAGGGAAGCCAAAGTCAAATGACAACCGTCTTTCTAATTTAACAGCTGCAGTGATTCACTTAACAACAATGACAAGAAAGATCATAAAATGGGACAAAACTCACTTAACAAATATCTGTTAAGAATAGATATTTTGGCCTCAGTTATAGTCATAAGTTGGGGACTACCTATATCTACTTTGTCAGCTACATGATTTGAGTTCCAAGAATGCATACAATATACAGTTATTCCAGAAATAAATGAAATGCAGATATTTATTTATTGAATAAAATGTATATGCTCCCTCATCAAATAATACTAGTCAAACTATAGCAACTATAAAATGGGATACATTTTAACCAATTTTTTTCTCCTTAGTTATTGTCTTCTAGAAAACAGTGATTTAATTGTTGATTCCACTGTGGGCTACTTTTGGGGGAGAATGTGTTTTAGTATTGGGTACAAAACCAAAGGTGCCACACTCCTGAAATAGTATATTATTGCTATTTCAGTGACTCTAGGTTGCTTACAAAAATAACCCAATATGAAAAGAGAAGAAAAAATAACTCTCCATCCCCCTGATGACAATAAGCCATCAAACAAGCCACTTGGTGGATTCCATCCCCAGGCCTGTTGGCAAAACCAGGTCTTCAGGGCCTTGCAAAAGAGTGTTAAAGTGGAGGCCAATTTAATTTCTGTAGGAATGATGTTGCAAAGGGAGGGATCCACCACAGAGAAGCCTTTCTTCTGGGTCTCACCAAATGTACGTCCTTAGGAAAGGAAACCCACAAAATTCCTTGCCTCCTTACTAATGCCTGGGTCAAGTGGATGTAACCAGAAGAGACAGTCCTTCAGATAATCTGGTCTCAAGCTATGTAGGGTTTTAAATCAGCACCTTGAATTGCACCCATAAGCAAATCACAGCTTTTGTAGAAGAATGACATATGCACATCAGGTCTGCACAAAACCATGCAAGCCATTTTGAACTATTTGGAGCTTCTGAATGTTTCCATGGTGCATGTTGCAATAATCAAGTCAGGAGGTGACTAGGGCATGAGTGACTATGAGTAGAGATTGTTGATTCAGGAAAGGGCATAACTAGTGCACAACCCATAGTTGCGCAAAGTCCCTCCCAGCTACAACTGCCACCTGTTCCTCAAGCAGGAGTTGTGAGTCCAGGAGAAACTCCAATTTACACACTGGGTCTGTCTGGGGCAGTGCCAGCCCATCCAAGACCAGAGATGGCAATTCTCCATGGACCATAGAACCCCAAACTCAGAGCCACTCGATCTTGCCAGGGTTCAGTTTCAGCCCACTGCTCTCTATCCAGCCCTTAACAGCCTCCAACATTGCAAGAGAAAGGTCATGGCATTGCTGAACACACCGTGGGCCAAGACATATATTTGGGTTTCATCAGCATATTGATGATATCTCAGTCCATGGTGGTGGATGATCTCAGTAGCTTCATGTAGATGTTACATGGAAGCAGAGAGAGTACTGAACACTGCAGGACTCCGCAGAGCAGGGGACGAGAGCTAGACCTCTTGTTCTCTATCAACACTGACTGAGAGTGGCCATAGAGGAAAGAAGTAAATCAGAACAGCATAGAGCCCCCACTCCCAACTCCTGAAGCTGCTCCAGGTCGATGGTATTGAAGGCTGCTGAGAGAGCAAGTAGAGCAAGATTGAATGCACTACCACCATTCTGCTCCTGCCAAAAATCATCAAAAAGGGCAACCAATATTGTTTCTATTCTATATCCATGCCTGAACCTTAATCGGAAATGGTCTAGACCAGGGGTGTCAAACTCAATTTCATTGAGGGCCGCATCAGCATTGCGGTTGTCCTCGGTGGGCCGGGTAGGTATGGCCAGGATGGGTGTGGCCTACTGGGTGGGCATGGCTGGAGTGGGTGTGGCCTACTGGCTGGGCATGGCCAGTTCTACATTGTTCGCGTCAAGGGTGCCTATGGGGGCCTGGGCAGGAGTGGGACAGATCTGAGGGTCTCTGGCAGAAGGGGGTGGGACCGGGGCAAGTGCCAAGGCATGGTCCACTGGAAGAGCCTGCTGAAACCCCTCCCCCAGAGCCCATCAAGCTGGATATGTGAAGTAGGCGAGGGCCATTTGCTGGCCACTTCCAGGCGATAGTGCATTTCTTCATTCCTCACAAAGGGTGAGCATGCACCCAGGGGGCGGGGCCGATGTGGCAGGGCTGGTTCCTCGCTGTTTCCAGACGGCCTTGTGGAGCTAAGACTGAATGCGTTTCAGCATAGATGGCCACCACAAAATTGTACATTGGCTCCCGGCTGGCCAGAGCCAAGGCAGCGGGGGCCGTTCCCTCGCTGTTTCCAGGATGGCTTCGCGGGCCACATGAAACCACTTCGCGGGCTGCATCCGGCCCCCGGGCCTTGTGTTTGACATGTCTGGTCTAGACAATCCATTTTATTCTGGAACCTCTAGAGCTGCCACAAAATCACATTCTCAGTGATCCTCCCCAAGGGAAGATTGGAAACAGGTTGAAAATTTTACCCAATAGGGTGGAATATAGTGATGGCATCTTAAGAATAGGGCAGACAACAGATTCCTTAAATGCTGGAGCACAAAGCCCTCCCACAAGGAAGCATTAATCACCACCAGAACCCACCTGCCTGTTGCCTTCTGGGAAACTTTGACAAACCAAGAGGGTCCTTGATCTAAAATACAAGTGCTTGCACTCAGATTCCCTAGGATCCTGTCCACTTCATCACGAGCAACCAAGTTAAATATTCCCGTGGTAGTGCAGTGGTTAGAATGCAGTATTACAGACTAACTCTCCCTACTGCCAGGAGTTCTATCTTAATTAGCTTAAGGCTAACTCAGCCTTCTATCCTTATTCGTTATGTATATGTGGGTCTATACATAGCGTTGTATATAGTATGTTTTTAGGGCGTGTCATGTACGTGTTTCACTTTGAGAGCGGGCAACTAAATTTCATTTTTGATGTGTGCCGTTGTGCCCACAGTAAAAAAATGACAATAAAGGTTATCTTATCTACCTTATCTTCTGAGGTCGGTAAAAATGAGGATCCAGATTGTTGGGGACAATATGCTAACATTGTAAACTGCTCAGAGAGTGCTATAAAACACTGTGGAGCAGTATATATGTTTAAATCCTATACTATTCCCAGATAATTGGGCAAGAACCTGCTCCAGGTACGTCCACTTGACTAGCAACCACGCCAGCATCTAATTGTGAATGAAGCTGAGCGATATTGTTTTCCACTAAATCAGTAAATTCCTCAGGGCGCCTCTTCAGATAGACCTCTTTCTTCCCTAGAAGGGGATAGTACACCTTAGAGAGGGTCGCTGGCAAATTATCTGCACACATAATTAGTGCAGAGAAGATTTTGGGTCATTCTGGTGTTTAGTATTATTCCTATAATGCTTTTTTGGTTTAAAAGGTCCAAATAAATGCTCTCTTCCCTCTGTAGTAAACAGATTCTCTGGCCTAGTTTACACCTTTCATGATAGCCATTCAAGAAATTATAAATGCTCTGTCCAATTTGGATCCAATCCAGTGAAACTTTATTTTAAATACACTTAGGATTGCAGTATATAACAGGTAAAATAATGTTATTGACGTCTAGTCTTGTCAATTCAACTTAATATATGTTATCTAC